TAGCTTTTTTCGGTAAATTCCACTGGAATTCAACCCTGTTTAGGCGAGTAATAATAATAATAATATTAATAATAATAATAATAATAATAATAATAATAATAATAGTAACAATATGTCTTTAAGTATATGTTCCAAAGTGCAGGTTTTTACCGAATGGTAGTTGTATGCCATTTCTGACATTAGGTTTGCGCGGTTTTCAGGTTGTAAATTACAGGTGGTATTGTTACGAGGTTTAAATGTGTGGTACGCTACGCGTGGCTTTCACGTTCCACGTATCGATCTTGCACGTTCCATGCATTTGGCCATGGACACACTGCCTCAAATGAACATTCATGTAATCTGCACCTCCCTATCGCTAGCGCTACCATTTCCACTCATCTGAGATTGACACCAACAGCGTAATACTCAATCGAGTCTACACGCTCATTGGTGTCATGCGTTGGAAGTCACTAATCAAGACTAAACAAGCTCATGCACTTACCATACGCACTGATGCGTTCGCTTGTTCCGGTGTTTTATCTATATTCCCTACGTGTCTGGTGTTTCTGCACCAGACAGTGGCCTGGGCGCAATTATCGAGTGGAAAGACTGAGGCGGCATGACTCCCGTTTTTGAAACTATTCATACCAGTGCCCCCCCCACAGACGATACCGAAGGAAAATTTGTTTGAAAAGTATGGCTTTGGAGTAGACATAATTACAAACAATGATTCGCACAATTACACATCGTTTCAATAGAGTAAGAACATAAAGTAGGAAATAATAATGACCGAGTCAATTTGGCTTCGTAAAAATGGGGCATTAAACAACAGTAATGAATTCAACATACACCATTAAAGCCCTAGTGGAAAAAAAAGAAAAAATTTCTATCGTTAAACTTCAGATATCTTGTCGCTTTGGGAAGAAACATGCGCATGGCAACAAACAAGGATTAATCTAAAACTAGTCATTCAGCTACCATCGTTCTTTAGAAACAGCCTAGAGATTTCTTCACTGTAGTAGTTATTTATCACAACCTTGGCATCTTGGTCGTTTGACCCGGTCAAAAGAGCGTATGATCCGATAAGCTGGACACCGGCCCCCAATTGCGGTCCTTCCACATCACCCCACTGCGTTGCGGATCAAGCCGGTTTTGAACTGGCCTTGGCCTGGACAACTTGACAGTATTTCAATCACAAACAAATCATGGAACTTTTTTCTTTTCAGAAATATTATTGAACCGTAATTTCTTTGGCAAACAGTCTGATCTCAGACGTGTGAAAAACCTTTTAGGAAGAATCGTGTCACGCACTGCGGTGAAATACCCCTTCAAGTAACTCTCAGTAAACCTTTTCTTCAGATAAACGGTAACAAGGATAGGCGTGCGTGTCGGTGTATATATTTGGGAAATTGACGAAGATGTAAATCACTCTCAGTCTAATTATACTTCTGCTAATCTTGGCACGCACATTATATTGATGTGCTCTTAGCCACTGCGCCCCCCCCCCCAATCCTATCTGAAATTCGGGCCAATTGTCTGTATTTGTACCAAAGTGAGGAATAAATTTTACTTTGTGCTGGTTCGGTCGGCCATACATACCACTAGTTCTCTTCTCGGACCTTTGTCAGCAACCCTTCTGTATCAACAACTTGAACTCTCTTTATTATGGGCACACGGTCTGGAATCGAAGGGGTGTGAAATACACGCCCTCATTGGGCAGGGTACGTTTTCATTCTTTTATCTTTTTCTGTTACTTCCTTTTTATTGAACATGCAATGGTACAATTTTCAGGAAGGGGAGAAGCGACCAATCAAAGGGCTGCCATTCAATACACAAATGAGGAAAGTCAGGCGGTGGTGGTGGAATTCGAACCCATCCCCGGGGTGATAATTTGGTGACGTTACCACCGGGCCACCACCGCCCAACTTGTGCATTCCACTTTGTAATTTTTGTAGAGGTAGAAATTATGCAACATGAAATATAACTTACCTCTCCCTGCACATCGCCCCTTACCCCCAAATAATCTTTAATTTCGGAATTCAAAACGAGATTTTAACTGTATGGAGCTAAAGGCCTCTGTGGAACAACTGGCATTGAACAAGGGCAAACGATCACTTCTTCACCACAGGTTCAGCTAAAGTCAGACCATGCGACCTGGCTACCCATGGTTCTTACAAGTACAATCTAAGGTGGATCTGAGTAATGCACGTAATCCCTTCATCTATACCAAGGAGCGTTTATGTCGACCCAGACGAGACACATACAATATGAATGTGTAATGTCAACCCGCAAATCCATTCGTTTTACCCTGTGTTATCAGGTGCGGAATGGTTTTCCTTTGTTTTTTTTATCGTTTCCCTTTGATTCCAAATATACCCAAATCACATCATTGCTTTCTGTCATCGGAAACTTAAAACAAATTGCCTGATGGCAGTATCTAAGTTAACAAAAAGAGACAATACTAATTATTTGTTGTCCTTCGTGCTGATTGAGTACATTTTGGACTGTTCATCAAGCAAGAAGGTTGGAATACATACATTTTATAACCAGCCAAGCTGATCTCTGCACTGGTCATAGGGACATCGTTGTGACGACTGGTACTCTACAAGCAAAGTATGATTTTTCTCAATATAATCATTTTTCTCTAAAATCCTTTTTCAAGAGTCTGTTCGATGGCAGAATCCAAAGCGTCGTGGAGATTCCACATTCGTTATTTCATTGCTCCGAAGCTACTCAGGAATGAGGATGTGTATGAAGCAATCATTAGGAAGAAGGATACATCATCTATAAAGCCTAGCCGGCTTTTCAATGTGAAGCAACAATGCCCCAAGAGTTTATTTGGAAGGTTCCTTGTCCGCCCCTCTCCCACGAATTGCTTGGGATCTCTCTTCGAATAGTCCATCCACTCAACATTGTCCGTTTTTATCTTTTTGTTTTTGCAGGTTAGCTAGCTGTGATTTAACGGTGCTAGACTTGTTTATTTATTACTGGAAGAACGTAAACCAAAACTGAACATACTACCACAACACTCACGAACGCAGTGCTGACCTTCTGTAGGAGGTCCTGCTGGTTTTGATCTGGAAGGCACGTCTTCCGCACCGCATGATCAGAGCGCACAACCTTTCGCCACTGGAACATCCAAGTCATCATTGTTAAATACGGGTGGTATTCAGACAATTTTATGTTACACAAGATTACTTTCAGTCTCATAGAATTTATGACTTTATTTACTGCAATGCACTGGTTGCCTCCAACGGATTTGCGTGCTACTTAACACTTTTAGGTGTGACAGCTTAATCAGAATCCTGGACGAAATAGTAAAGCTCACTCGATTTCGATCACAGTTTACTGAATGACTAAAGTGCATTACAAGTATCACATTCCAAGAGTTTCAGTTTCATGTTCAGTTTGAAAAAAATAATAACTATGCGGCAGTTTCGGTACCTATCTTTCGGATGCTCATTTGGATGAAGGGGTAGAAGATTTGGAAAATTGAAAGCAGTGTCGAAGAGAAAATGAAGAAATCTGGTAGTCCAAGGTGATAAATTACGTTGAAATACGAGTGCAACTGTTTAGAACACAGATATTTCACTCATTGTCTCTAACCATTGATTATAATTATCACGAGGTCCCTGTGAAGTTAGCCAAAAGCCATCTATATAAGCGATTCTCGTGGTCTAGGTTTTCACAATCACATTTATCGTCTTATTCTGACCACCCTTGACTTTTTCCAGTCACTATCTGTTTCCGCAAATCTCGAGCGCCTTGGCAAACAATTTGATGAGATGCATAACGAGCCCCAAATAACGAAATCTATGGAGGTCAACCACTTACGTTACTTGGTCAAGTCACCATTATGAGATTTCCTCTAGGTATTACAACCGAATTATGCTCTGGCTAACAGCATTATGCTTCCTCCATGTGTTCAGCTTGTCGGAGTGGGGATTGTACGTGAATATTAAGGATAGTCAGTCTGAATCAACATCATCTGGCTTCTCACGACCACTCACAAGTAACTATGAGTTAAATGTGAATATAATCTAGTCTAGTAGATGTAACTTTAGAACAGGCTAAAGCCGAATAGAAGGCTTTGAAATGAAGAAATGATTTGGTCAAATATGACTACTTTCATTTCCATCGATCATGACTGACTGACTGACTGTCGCTGAAGACGACAGCTGAACAAACTTGAGCTGACAGTTCGAATTAGCCTCTCGTTGATCTGGGTGATGCAATGGCAACACATATGTCTACTATACCAGGGGTCTAGAGTTGAAAAATCGAGTTGAAATCTCGGACGCACCGTTAGATATGCCCTCCTGGTGAGCTCTAACAGGAGTGAAACACAAACCAGTGGCAGTTGAGTAAATGCTTGACTGGATGAACCCGAGAAGGTACTTGAAATTGAAGTCTGAAGGATAATCAATCCAAAGCAATTTCACCTACCTCGCAACAATATTTGTAAGTAACTGCGAGTCAAAAGCTAACAAATTTCTGCTATGAAACAGACAGATTAGACATTGCATATCTCACCCCCAAAGGGATCTTTGGGTGTGCATAATCTATAGGACCTAATACCAAGCCTTGACTGGGCGACGGTGTATTCCATAGTTCATAACAACCTCATATTGACCAAAAACCTGAACTAAGAGGACGATTTATTATTCAGAACTTCTAATAAGAGTCCATATAACCAGATTACATCGAGTAAGTCATTGAGTAAAAGCAATATCCATTGTTCAACTCGTTGAATGAAGGCAGTATTCTGGGGAAATTATTCACAAGTAGATTTGGACGTTTTTTCACGTCAAATACAATAATACCAATATATGCCAGATATGGTCTAAGAAAAGGAATGTCAGGATGCGTATTCACTTTGCCATCCCGATAAATTCTAAAAAGGAAACAACCTTAGCGTTGACGTCTAGCATGCGAATTTTGCGCATCGAAAAGTTGGGAGTCAATAAACAAGTTAGAAGTATTGGGACTAGCACGGGTAAAGACAGTTAACTTATATCATACTACCTAAATATTAATATATCACGTTGAGCACTCACGTAAATTGCTATAACCTCGCCGATCATAAACTTCGGATTTATTGTTGTCGATAAATTTCCCTTTCTTGATGGGAGACCTAGGGTAGCATACAGTTTGTACATGGCGTTCAATTCCCATAACGGAACAAAATAAGCTCCGTCCAGTGGCGCTGCAGAAAATGACTTTCCGTAATCTTGTAAAGATGTGTTTCCTTTCTTGATTGCTTTGATCACTGCTTGAGCAACACCGTCCAGTTCGATTGTCAGAAGCTGAGCTTGGGCTTGTTGATTTGGTTTACTTATTTGTCCGTAGATGTCCCAGGCGGAAATAAGCAAGAGTAACGCTCGACGGACTATCGCAAATTCCATCATTCTGACTCTGGATCGTCCAGCTATCCCCAGTGTACCTACTTAACACCGTTGAAATAAGGCAGACGAAATTTAAAATCAGAAAATCGATCAAATATTCTGAATGATCATGTGAACATTTGAAGTAGCCTTTGTATGGTCGCAGACAGTATGCACTGACAACCTGACAATCTTTCATCAACTAATACATGCGGATTGCTGGTAAATACATCTATTAGAAACTTAAATAAGACAACTACTGAGCATTGTCTAATTGCAAAAAGATTGTATTAGAGACTAAGAATATTGAGTCAGAGAATGAAACTTAGTTTGAATTGATCTATAAAAGCGTTTCTCTCTCAGTACCGTCACTATGGATCAGTTGGTAAGGTAGTCTTGTGGTTCAATAGCACATCCTTTAGAATCTTGTGGGTCATATGGTGAATTTCTTCGTGTGCACAGTATACGAAGGTTAAGCTGAAAATCTAAGAAGCATTGGACAGCTAATTCAATCTGATTGGTCTCATCAGTAGTATCACACCATCGACCTAAATGAGGATAGAACCTGTCACTCACGGGTAGCACCAGGCTCGCAAAGCTGGATTATGCTATATTGTGTGTAGGCATAGTGAAAAACGGTCTGACTGACTGATGGGTTGAACTGCGTGACAAGAGAGTTTTGTTTTTTCCACATTAGTTTACAAAAAATGACTTGGGGCTGATGCATATCTGAACACAGCATACCGGGTTGAACAGAATCTGGACTTCGTGCAACAGTAGATGGGTTGAATCGAATAATCATCCGATGAGGAATAAACCATCTTACATACAGCATGGGAAGTATGCAAGGAAATGTGAAGTGAAACCTTAATTGCAGATGTGCTCAGAGTTGGAATTAATAACGATGACCTTGGTTGATTTCGAAGTTGCTAAGCTGACAGATGGACAGAATGGTAACTTCAGTAGAGTAGGCAAACCGGGAACTGGAAATAAAAGAAAGGAAATTTTATTGAAAACAATGAAAGTAGTGGTTGAAGGTTTGGGCAGGAACTCTGGATATGTGCGGCTTCATTTTTTATTGCTGTCGATTAGTGGGGTAGCGCTCAAATACCCGCGTCACTTGAACGATGACGCATCTGACGTCAGACTCTTTCTCAAGTATCAGACTAGAGACAAGATAGTAAACAAAATCAGGCTATCAGGGGTTGTGGTAGTGAGGACTTCTACTCAACCAACTCGTTCATTTATGAATCGCAATTTATATCGAACTGTTCAGTGGGGATCATGACAAATAGGAAAAGAAATAATCAACATTCCAGTTCCATGCCCGGATATTTTTTGGTCATCGCACATGAGCTTTGTCGATGACAGTGTGGATCTGTCAGGATTCGTGCAAGTATTTAACTCAGTTCATTTGAAAAGAAAGTTTATTCCTGAGAAGGAAGAGAATGAGTAGATCGTTTTTCTGGACTTTTCACTGAGTCGTCGATCAGACGACACTATCCTACGCGCCATTCACGGGAAGTAATTGG